GAGGCACGGCGATGTCCTGGAGGCAGCTCCTGCAGGCTGCTGTGGTGTTCTCTACAGGTCTCACCTTTGGCTAGCTGGTGGATAGACCTGGAAAGCAGAAATGGGTAAGCGTTGACGGCTGTCAGTGCGCGAAGTCTGCATGCGTGTTGAAGTCTGCATGTGTCCTTGCCGTGTCTTGCCTGCCTGTTGATCTGACTGCGTGCTTCAGAGAGTCATCAACATGAGTGTTGAAGCCATTTCATGCTCTACGAGGTTTCGTTGATAGTGCTACCTCCATAAAGTACCATGCCACGCCTGTGCTGTGGCCACGATGGGGAGCGCTGTGTCTTTTCGACAAGGCGCGCCAGGCAGCGGGCGGAGGCAAACAGCCGCGCAGGCGGCTGTCGCCTTTGTGACCTGGAGCTTCTTGAGGGAGCCCTTGGCAAACCGGCCTCGAAGGGGCACTTGCTGCGGCAGCTCCGGGCGCTCCGTGCTCTGGACCAGGACGTTTTCGATTTGGCTCTGGTTCGCATTGGTGAAGTGTCCCCGCACGTGGAGGAGATCGAGCGCCTGGCAGGGGCACCCCAGCTGTCTGTCGAAGATCAATGGCGAGCTCGCTTGAAGAAGCGCAAGCGCCTCAGAGCTTCTCCGCCGCGCGAGGAGCGCCGCACTTTTCTCAAAAAGGTGGAGAAAGACCGCACCCGCGTGCGCCTCAAGTTCTTCCCCGAGAAGCACGGTCGAATCCCGCACTCGGGCCATCTCTGGCGACATCGCCTGACGCAGAGTGTCCAGGCACATGTGCGCGACGCAGCCTCCAATGACACCGGCCTGCCTGCCGCCCACCTGACCAACAATGCCGCCATGGTGGAGAAGTGGTGCAAGTGGGGTTCCTGGACCATCTGCCCTACCTGCCATTCCGTGCAGCCTCGGCGTCGGCGGGTCCTCATCACGCATTGCGTGACTGCAGAGCCTGCAAAGCCGCCGGCGGGCGCAATAGCAACGTCCCCACCGTTGCCGCGGTTCCTCAGGTGCTCCGCAAGCTCAATGCCCGCATCGTGAAGGCTCTGCGACCCCTGGACGTAGACTGCGGGCCGGTGCAGAGAGCTCCCCAAGGTTACCGCGTACACACCAGCATGATTCGTTTCAGCTGGTCTGGCGACTCTGTCACCGACAAGATCCGGGCGTTGGAGCACGCCGCAGAGAGAGCAAAGGCTCGGGAGGCGTACGACTTCCTCATGCAGCACGAGGGCTCCGCGTACGGCAAGTTCGTGGAGCGGCACCAGGAATTCCGCCAACGCCACCCAAACCCGACGGCCGCAGAGCTTCGGCGGCCGCTGCAATTCANNCGAGGAGCTCGGCTTGGAGTGCGCGCTGTGGCCCGACCTGTACACCGACCTCACCGCTTGTGAAACTTATGAAAGAGCTACAGACACGCGGCGCCAGCAGCGACATCCGGACGTGGATGACGCGGAGTCTGAGGATTCGTCGCAGAGCGTTGGCGACACAGCCTCAAGAGGAGCTTCCTGCTCAAGGCGCTGGGGCCCGTCTTGGATTATGCTGCAGATTACGAGCTCCTGCAGTTCGTGTTTGACCTCTCGGTCTGGTCCGACCTCGGTGGCAAGCGGAATGTGCGCGAGGACGCGCCGATGCGCATCCTCCTCAAGGGATGTCCCTTCGCGCCGTCTTACTGGGCTGTTCGTCACGCAGCTCTTCTCGACCTTCAACGCCAGGGCCTGCGGCCGCTGGTCTTCAAGACCTGGGCACCGTACGAGTGGCGCTGGCCTCAGTTGCGTGTTCGAGTGCTCTGTACGCTTGTAAAAGGCATTTCACCTGACTTACCCACTCGCCTAGGAGCGCTCCGTATCATGGCTGGCTGCTGCACCACATGCGCCACATGCACCGGCACCGTCAGCACTTGGCGGGCCCGGAGACGCTCCATCTTGCCCATGTGCTGACGGAGCTCTGTCGGGAGTGGGCGGCCGGAGGCGCAATGAAGCGTGGCGCGGCCAGCGCCCGCTGGACGGACGGACAGCTGCTGTCTGGGACGGCAGCAGATGGCACGCCGGGCATCCAGAACTTCTGCTTCCGCTTGGAGTATCAAGATGGTAAGCGAAAAGAGGCCACCCAGCAGTATCATGGCCGGGAAGCCGTTCATCTGCACGCCATTTTCTTCGGCACGGACGCCGAGTGCTTGCACCTGGAGAGGACCATGAAGGCCGAGGTGCCGCCGCATGATCACCCTCTGCGTGGTTTTATCCTCGACGGGCAGGCGAGTCGAACCGGAAGCGGCTTGGAGGTGCGCGAGGAGCCGTCTGTCTTTGACAAGGCCGCAGGCACGGTGCGATTGCGCCACAAGGAGCGCGACGAGGCCTTGGGCATTCGGGCCTACCAGGAGGCAGAGGTGGAGGTCCTCAAGTGCCACGTTGACAATCTTTTCCCGCGCACTGGAGCGGATGGGCGTGGGCTTCTCATGCGCTACGTCACCACCTATGCGCCCAAATTCAGCGACAGCTTCGCCACGGAGTGGCTTGCCGACGAGGGAAGCACCGGATACGGCATGGCCCTCCGCATTCTGTCGTGCTACCACCCGGGCGAACCAGAAATGTGGCTCACCCTGGCCACGCAGATGCTTCCGCCCTTCGGCACGGGAGGCACGGTGCAACAGCTGGTGGCCCCTTGGCCCGACATGCCGCGGAAGCGGGACTGCGTGGCCCTGTACAAGACTTCACGCTGGCGCGGAGACGACATGAGCCTGTTAGAATTCTTGCGCAAGTCCAATAAAGCGGGTGACATCGTGCAGTGGGTCAAGAAGGCGCACGCGCGGTCTGGCACACAAGAATCGCTCGAGGCCTTCGCGCGCAACTGCCCCATGGCCGGCGAGAAGATCATCGCGGCGGAGCTGGTCTCGCCCTTTTCGGACAAGTTCTTTGGCCAGTGGCTGATGCTCCACAGGCCATTTCGCAAAGTGGAGGATTTGCTGGTTCGGGAGATCTTGGAGAAGGTGCCGGACCGGTACAAGTTCTTCGGCTGCGCTCGAGCTCTTTGCCCCGAGTACTGGCAGGACGAGCAGCGCATTCGCGAGGACCTTCTGCTTGCAGCCCGAGGCGACGTCTACATCGAGAATGCGCTGTCCATGCTGCGAGCCCAGGCCAGCCTAGTGGACCGCTACCTCAGCGGGGCCATCACCCTCGAAGACGAGGCGCAGGCACCGCAAGCCCGGCCTGCAGCTGCCGGGGCCCGCGCGGAGCGCATAGACCCTGGGCTCTTCACTCTACTGCAGACTACGCTCCGTCAGCATGTGATGACCAACGTCGATCTCGTCTTGCAGCTGCGAGCCGCCGAGACTGAGGAGGAGGCAGAAACGCTCATGTCCGACTTCGAGAGCAACGGCAGGATCCTCGCCGGCCTCGGCCCGCCTGGCACCGGCAAGACGGTTGTGGCCGATCGGTGCATTGAAGAAGCAGTGGCCAAGGGGGCGAGAGTGCTGTACGCCCTTCCCACCGGACAGCTTGCAGCGCAGATGCGCGTCCGCCATCCCGAAATC